TAAAACACAATAAAAATAGACAACGAACTGGAGCTCCGCCGGGGATGTTCCTCGTCCTGGCATTGATTGCCTCTGGAACGAGTTCGTTGCTCATTTGACTCGCCAGCCGCACTCCGAGTGAATGACTCCTAAATTGTGAGAAATAAGACAAAGTGGCAAGCATTTTTATGCTGCTAGAACTGCTAGTACATGCACAGCGACAAAATACTCCACCTCGCAATCAAATATTTATCCATAGAGTCCTGCAGCCACTGTTCGACTCGCAGTTCAGTGTCGTTGTGGGAAAAAAGGCAGCACTTTCGCCCGTGCTGACACATGTTCGTATCTCGACTTTTCGCCGGAGGATCTTTTGCAATTTTATGCACTCTGCCACAGCGAACACATTGGCAAGGAGCCATTAGCGAAAAGCGAACCAAAAATAGAAGAAAAGCGCCAGCGCAAAGTTTTCCTGGGGCGCGCGGAATATGAGATAGCCGTTTATCAGATGCAGCTTTTGACGGTTTCGCGGGAGGGCCGAGAGAGAGCGAGAAGTATTTAAGCCCCGAGATTAAAGGCCAGGGACTTTAAGAGTTCTCTTCCACTGTGATTGCAAGAGTCTCTAGCTGGCAGTGTTTTTTGGGCCATAAACTAAACGATTTCAGACTCGGAGCATGGAACAGAACCAGGCCTTGGTCTGCCAGCACTACTAAATATTTTCAATTGTCTTTGCTGGCTGCTCTGCTATTTTATACTCGTTTTTTATGATTTCTGCCGGAGGAGTGGAGAAGCGAATAAACACATGTAGCCGGATAATAAAAAATGAAATAGAACAGCTCAGACAGACACGAAATAACAATGAAACTAAAACTTTAAACTGTCTGTCAAGTTGCAGGGATATCAGCTAGGAGCAAGACAACGAGAGGAGCCAAAGACACAAATGCCAAACGCCCTCCTGTCACTTATCGGGGCGAGCAACTTGGGTCCCTGAGCTGCGCTGGCAGGACATGCAACGTCGTCCTCTCGTGACCCCTTTCGGCCAGCCCAGAGTGAACTCTCCGCAGCGCCGTGACCCTTCGACCCTTCCCTGCTCAATTAGCAGTCACTGACGTTTCTAATCGACACTAAGCGCCTGCCAGCCAGTCTTTAAATATTTCATTAAGCCCCGAATCGACAAATCGCAGGCTGCAATGTCCCACTGATTCCCAGTTCAAACACCTCAAAAGTAGTAGCACCTCCAAACGAGGCTGCTTACCATTTCGTTTCAATCAGGTGTCCTGCAGTCCGAAACTCGACCACTAATTGAATAGCCAATTTCGGAGCTAGCCCTGTCGGATGCCCCAATTACTTTGGCAACCCGGGAACTCAGGGAAACTTCGACTTGGGACTTGGCCGAGTATTACCGGGATATGGCAGCGACTACGCCAATGACTATAACTATGACTACCGGGAAGACTCGGAGGACTCGCCGACGCCTCAACAAACTTGGCAACAACTTAAGCCACCACGTTCACGGCCATCACTTTGTGAATTTTCAATGGAAAGGCGAGGAGGCGCACTTTCTTTCTTGTTCCTTCGGAGAACGAAGGCGGTAAGTCGAAGAAAGTTGTCTGTCTGTAGGTGTGTGTAGGTGTGTGGGAAAATATGATGAGAGATGGTTAAAATGAGTTTTCAACTTTCCCAGTACATAGATTCGATCGAAACGTGACTTCTTCGCAGGTGCGCTTACCTTCCCGACATATGAGACCGGGATTTCAGGCAGGGCACTGCATTTATCTTCGTCCTCGCCAACGTATATATCCTAGCCAGTGTTCCTAAATAATTGATGCCGCACAAGCCGCAAAGAGACACCACTTAATTTATCAAGAACACATGTATGAATATTTGCGGAGCCAAGTAACTTTTCTAATTGGGGCCCGGAAAGTGCCAGAAATACAGTCTAATCCCTGGGGGTCTCAGACTTCTTAGACTGCATTGATACTTTAAAGTGTAGTCGCTTTAAAGAGGCTCCACTGTGCAGTAAATGAGAAGAAAAAATCAAGTGGCAGGTAAGACCCAACTAATTGCTTTCCCAAACCGAGGAACGTGAGAGCTGTTGCACAGCATTAATTGCAAGTATTTTGCCACAATTGCAAACGAAACGGAACGAAACGAAAGTGTTCAAGGCTCCTGGGCTCACCTTGGGGTATTTGGCACGGGTGAATGCGCTTTTTGACCTACTGGATGTAAGGATGGAGGATGCATCCTGAATAGAGAATACTGGTTGCTGGTTACTGGTTACTGCTGGAATCTGAGCTTGAGGTTGAGCTTCGTTTCGAGGGTCTGTGGGCTCTTGACACGTGTGCTCTGAATGGAGACACCAGGCACCAGGCGGAGGAAGTGGAACCGCGCCAGTGTTTTCCGATGGTTTGGAAATAATCAGGAACGTACCACAGATTTCCGGAGTGTTTCTGTTCGTGTGTGCGGCGCGTGTGTGGTGTGTGGCATTTACAATCATTGATGATTAATCAGACATCAGCTGCTAGCTAACCCCACTAAGCTCCTCCCGAAGAGTGAAGAGCCCTTCTGCCATTTTCCGCTTTTCCGAAACTCCAGCTCCTGCTCCTGCTGCTCCGGCTTCCATTGCTGTTGATGATGATGATGAAAATGAAAATGAGGCAAGGATGAGAGCCCCCGCCCGCGCCCCGGCCCGCTTCCGCCGGCTTCCTTGGCAGTAAATCTGTTTTGGTTGCTTCATTAAAAATTAAACAGTGCGGCAATTTGCGGAGGGGCTGAGACGCGGAGGGGGGCTGAGAACGAAGGGCTGAGGGCCATTTGCATTAACATCAAATCAAAGCCAAGCTGGCTCAGTGAGTGTGTATACTACACTTTAATAAATTCAACTTGGCAGACAACGGCAAACAAACGATTACCCAAATTTTAATAAAGTCTCTGTGCCACGCCTCTGCGTTAAGAAGAGAAGACGAGGCGCCCGAGGCCGCAGTCTACGGTGCTTGGCGCTACATAGTTTCCCAAGAATTCCTCAGAAGCAGAGGCTTCTCGCAAGCCAAGTTGTATCGCAAGCTTAGTTAAACACAAGGATTGTGGGTCCCTGGTCCGAGGCCATTCGTCACATTGTTTTCGTAATACCCGTCGATTAGGGCAGGGCGCAAAGTTCATTGGAGCATTAAGTGCCCGAGCCAGAGCCAGAACCAGAGCCAGAGCCCGGGCCAGAGAGAGGAAGCCAAAAAGAAAATTTCCGGTGAAATGTGTGCGAGAACTGGCAAACAAATAGAAAATTATATATGCGCATTACGGCGCAGATTTCACCACTTGACACAGCAGGAGAAATTTTATTTTTTCGCTTCTGGCCCTTTGTTTCTAGCTCTGAGGCTCCTTGGGTTTTTAGCTTCTTTTCGAGCATATTTTTTCCATCGCCATCTCCATAAATAATTCAGCAAGCCGAGCAGAAAGTGACAAGACAAAACTTAGACTTTGGCCATAGTTTTTGCGGCCGTGACGTTGCCACAAAAGCGGATCCTGGCCCGAAAGGAGACGACCATCGCAGAGGGCCAATTGTCTCAGGTCGAGCCGCAAAGAACCCCCTATGAGTTGTTAACATATTAAGAAGATTTCACTTAAGTCCGCCCGACATCCTATTACACCAGAAACCGGGAGAGGTTAATGATGAGAGGCCGCTCTGTTGCTGCTAGCCCCGAAAAGTAGGCAGCACATTATTCTGCGCCAAGGCTGAGGTCTGAGGGCTGAGGGCTGAGGTCTGAGGGCTGCGTAATGAAATGTGCTTCAAATTGCCCATAAAACTGTGTCCGCCCGGCGAAAAAAAACTGGAACTCGGCACCACATGTGCTGTGCCCGCACTAGACGTCATTTTAATAAAGTACATTTAATGTTGACAATATTGCGCTACCCTTTTTGGGGAACAGAACTAGGCGGGGCCGGGTTAGTGCCTCATAAAAGGAGGTCGCCGGGCCGTGGAGGTTGATTTAAAGGCAGTGGCACAAAAGTGGATTAGAATTCATGTTTCACTTATGCATGTGTTCGACCCCACACCACCCTGACCCGGGTATGATGTATTATCTCCTCCTGAATCGAGTGTGTAAATTACCTGAAAAAATGCTTCGACTTAATGACAACAATTCCATTAGAAATGATTTATGAACACGGGCTCCCACTCGCAAATCACTCGGCGATGGGGATGGGGATGGGCGTTTACCCTTTCTGGCGACTGGTCGTCGCTGGGAGGTCGCAGGACGAAGGATGAGGGTTATGAGAAGGCGAAATTCCTTCCGTTTGGAGCGGCATGTGTCTGTGAATTTGCGTTCATTCGCACAAACGAGTGCGTGCTATTTGGGGCGTGGCACACGCACTTAAAGTAACTCACGCCCACCCACTCCCACACCCACTACCACACACACACTCCCCCACTCGTAAAGGCAGCTGAAAGGGGCATATTTCTGGCATGATTTAACACTTAATTAGCTGCGTTTTCGACTCAAGTGTCGCCTTATCATTGTCAGCAGTGGCTCGTGGCACACCGGGCGTATGAGTAATCGCCCTTACGCCATAATCGAGCCAGGGCCGCCCCTTTGGAGGCTCACTGGAAGAAAGATCTGAGCGATGGCTGAGCCAATCCTGTCAAGAAACCGAGGCGAAACCGATGTAAGGTATTAATTAAGAATTCATTAAACACTCGACTTTAAGCGTGCATTAAAAATTCACCAGCAGGTTTTGTTTTCCGTGCACCCCCACCAACCCACCCACCCACTCTCCCAGATGTGTGAATTATTAAATGAACAACATGGCGACCAGCACAAAAATTAAAAATAAAGCCCAAATGTTGCATACTTCCCCGACCCTGACTCTTGTTCAAAGATTTTCCCTTCAAGCTGTTCCCGAGCTGTTCAAATAAGTAAGCCCTTCCAAAGCATTCGAAGCAGATTCGGTTCAAACCTCACAGTATAACGTGTAACCTCAAGGAACCAGTCGACAAACGTAGATCTATATTTTTTAAAAATTCCTCAATTATATTTTTTAAAGATAAAAGTTAAACGGCGGGAAAAATGGTGAAGGAAACTGGGTTCTATGATATTCTGGAAGTGAAGCCCGATGCCACACCTGAGGAACTGAAGAAAGCTTACAGGAGGCTAGCGCTGAAGTACCATCCCGACAAGAATCCACGGGACGGGGGGGAGAGGTTCAAGGCTATCTCGCAAGCCTACGATGTGCTGTCGGATGAGGAGAAGCGCAAGGTGTACGACGAGGGCGGTGAGGAGGCGATAAAGCACGGCGGACTCGACGACGGGGACTTGAGCAACTCGATGGACCTCTTTGAGAAGTTCTTCAGTGGTACTTTCGGCGGTGGCAGCGGTGCTGCTGGCGGTGGCGGTGGCGGTGGCAGTTGTCGACGCGAGAAGCAGTGCAAGAACCTGATCCACCAACTGGCGGTCCAGCTGGACGAGATGTACAACGGCGCCAATCGCAAGCTGCGGCTTCAGAGGCAGGTTATTTGCAGGAAGTGCGAGGGCCGGGGCGGCAAGAAGGGCAGCATTTCGAAGTGCAGGCAGTGCCTAGGGAAGGGCGTGGAGAACCGTGAGCTGAAGATCGCCCCCGGGATGGTGCAGAACATCGAGCAGGTGTGCCGCAAGTGTGCGGGCACCGGCGAGATCATATCGGCGAAGGGCCGCTGCAAGAACTGCCAAGGCAGGAAAACGGTGCGGGAGCGCAAGGTCGTCGAAATCAAGATCGAGAAGGGTATGCGGGACGGACACAAGATTGTGTTCAAGGGCGAGGGTGACCAGGCGCCGGATAGTCGGCCCGGCGACATCGTTATTCTCCTGGACGAGAAGGAGCATTCGGATTTCGCGCGTTCCGGCCACGACCTTGTGATGATGAGGTCCTTGCAGCTGGTCGAAGCCCTGTGCGGCTTCCACCAGATTATCAAGACCCTGGACAAGCGCAATCTGCTCGTGTCCACAGAGCCTGGCCAGGTTATTGGCCACGAGGTGCTAAAGTCCATTGCCGGCGAGGGCATGCCCATTTACAACAACCCCGTGGAGAGGGGGCTGCTGATCATTCAGTTCATTGTCGACCTCCCCGACTCGATCAGTCCCTCAGTGGTGCCCATCCTGCAAAGTTGCCTGCCGCCGGCTCCCCAGGTTGACATTCCAAACGAAGCAAAGCGCACTGTCTTGGTGAGTATTTCTGGATCTGTTCATCGATTATAACACTTACATATGTACATCAATCCTTTAGATGAACCATAATCCCAATGCACGTCGTCACCAACACCGCCGCATGTCCGTTGATGAGGAGGATGCCTCCCAGCAGTGCGTATCGAGCTAAGCGCCTCGCCGGGTGCTGGATTCCACTCCCCCAAACACTCAGCTCGGAACCCAGCTCCCGAAACACTCTAAGCTCTGCTTTCATGGCCCAAGATCTTCCAAATATCCTAAAGCACCCAACTAATCGAATCGAAATCAATGGAAACTTATCACTTCTACTCATGTTATATGTTATATATACTTGTTATGTCGAATTGGATTCAAACCAACATTGAAACTTAAACCGCAAACTAGCCGCCTTACAAACCTCGTAGCATAAATAAAAAATATAAAAAAAAAATAAAAGGTTTTCTCTTTGAAGGGGATTTTTCCCGAATTTCCCCGCAGGACTAACATTCCAATGCCATCCGTGGGAAAAACACAAACAAGAGGAAATCAATTGGGATATCCCGGGCTTGTAATTCTCTAAAATACCCAATAATCTACCAACTCGGCTCGCCAAGTAAACAAACATTGTTGTTTGCCGCTTTTGGGCCAAATAGTCGCCCGATTCAGAGGCCCGAGACTGAAAAGTAGTTGGCTGTCAGAAGAGCTGGCGGGCAGATAATTGCGTTTCTTTCGCCAACTGGCCCTGCTCTCCAGATTAATTAAATGAAGGGGAAAATGGAAAAGTGTGGGCAAGCGGAAATGAAAAGTATCTAACGGAAATAAAGGAGCTGAAATGCTGAAATAAAAATAAATAAAAGCCCAACCACCCACACCATTGCACTGCTGGTGAGTGCAACATCTCGGTGCTGCAAGTCTCTCACTAATTAGCCAGGAATTTCTAATTTAAATTCTGGATTCTGTCTCTCGGATGCGAATATTTCTTGTTTATGCGAATAAGCTTTTAATATTAATATAGGCGGCGGGAGGCGGTAGGAAATGCATGTTGTATGTTGAATAAAACGATATTCCTCTTGTTCTTTATTCACTTTTCGGTTCGGCATTCTTTGGCATCGACATCCTTAAGCCCAGGCCCAGTTCCAGCTCCATCCCCAGCTCCAGTTCTGGCCTGCTCCACTCCCCAGCCCAGCCCGGCCGTATGTAGTACGTACAAAATAAATAATTTCATTTGACTTGCAAATGTTGGCTGATGCCACGCAATGGCAAGCCACTCTCAGCTGAGACCCTCTCGTAAGGATCCGAGTATCAGAGTGCTCAGAGTGTGAGCCGGGCCATAATGCCAGGCATCGGCTATATAGCCAACAACAACAATAAGCCAGCCTGGTAGCCTGGTAGCTTGGCAGACTGGCAGCAAGGAAAACAATGCCAAGAACAGTGCAAACAAAATGGTAGCAACAACGCATATGAATGGAAGGAACAACAATGGCGGGAAAGTGCCAAGGGTGGCGCTTACGGAAAGGACCTCAGCAGAATACTCTTTCGAGACACATATTGGGGAAAGCTCTGGAGCTCCAGGGCAGCAATTAAAAATGCTATTTCGGCATTTCTATTTACGCACTTTGTTGGCCAACACAAATTGCATACATTATACATTTTAATTCGTCTCGGATTGGGCAAATATTGGCCAGGATTCGTGTGCGATTGTTTCCTGACGGAGGCCAGAAGTGGACAAGTCATCAGGAGCCTGACACTAAAAGGGTATGTGGCTGGAACCGTGACCCGTTTCGGCCACTTCCTCAGTCTGGCCTTCTCCCCTTCCCCCTTCCCCAAGAGCTCACTCACTTTCTCTGTGCCGCCCTCAAGTGCAACCCACTCGAAAGCCTGCCACTCAGGGCTGGGCTGGCTGCGTTTAGTGTCTCAGGCGTTAGAGGCGGCGCGATTAGGGCGCGTTTTAAAACGCCAGCAAGCCGCACTGCGGCTAAGAGAAAACCGCGCAAAAATAATTAACATGGCAGAAATGCCACAAGCCACTATCCGGGGCTTCGGCTTCGGCTTCAGCTTCCAATGCGTTCAGCGTTCAATACATATTCATTAAAAATTAATTAAGGCCCCTCCCCCGCCGCATCCCTAATGCTTTTTTGTGGCCCGGAGTAATATAATATTAATTTCGCATTGCGCCCCCCCTTCTTATTGGCCTGCAGGCCCACTGTCTGCATTCTACATGGCAGCTGGTAAGTGTCTATGAATGAATTTATGTATAATTTTAACGTAATTAACACACGCGTGGTGCTGGCAGGGGGAGAGGGAGTGGGAGGAGCTATAAAACGCAGCCGAAACGCGGGGAAAACGCACTCAAACAGCAAGCTTTTAATTAGCTGCACCCTGGCAACGCCGCGCAGAGTCATCAGCTCAAGTCAGCAACTTTTTAAAGACTCGCCGCAAACTGCTGACCGCAAGGATCTCCTCCGCTCCCCTCCGCTCTACTCTGCTCTGCTAGGTGGAAGTCCCCCCCTCCCCAAGATGACATTTGTGCAGTCGCAGATAAGTGGGTGCTGCGCGGAGGAGGAATAATTAGATGGCCTTGCAGGGCAGCGAAAGGACTGTAAAAGCTCAATATTTTTAATGACAATAGCACTCGCCAGAGTGCCAAAGTCAAAGGTTAGCCCAAAGCCAGAAAAAGGGAAAACAGTTAATTGAAATTCTGGTATTTAAAAGAAAATAAATACGCGCTCCCTCAACGGACTCCTCCCGCTGAAACGACCCCAAGGATCCAGCCATTAGGGCGCGAGGCAACCCTAATGCATTCTGAAGTATTTGCGGTTCACTTTCGGCAATGTCGCATTCGTCAGCGTCAACTTAACGCCATTTGCCACCCCACTGTGGGTCTTCCGCCGCCTTGCTGGCGTATCCTTGCCGGCTTAGCTCTATCCTTATCCTTGCCACTGTGGCGCTGTCGCCGCTGTTATCCTGACTGTCATATTTGCGGCTCAAGTGCTGCACTTTATTATTTTTAGCGTCGTCGTCGTCGCAGCCCTGTCACGGCCACGCCCCTCAATGGGCCACCCCCGCCAGCCATGTCCCTTGTCCTGGCAGCCTTCCTGTCCATCTCTGGTCCTGGCTCTGCTGTGTTCATTGACGACGCAGCAAAACCGATGATGCAAATATTTGTAACAGCCACTGTCGGACACCAGCACTGCGAGAAAAACCCACTCCACAAGGACACCAGCATGTAAGGACTAACCATTAGAAAGATTGGTCAGCATGGAAGCAAACCCAGCTTGGTGGGCTAAATCCTGAAAGTTTTTAGAGAAGATCTTCCCCTCCATTTGCAGTTGTTGCACTTTGTCTGTTTGGCTTCGGGTGTTGTGATTAACAAGTAAGCTGGTGGCTTTCAGGACCTGTCTCTGGCTGTCTGGGTCTGTGTCTGTGTCCTTACAATGGCAACAAGGAGCACAACTTGTGTAAAAACAAAAGCCACACGAACCAGAGCCAGCAACTTGGTGGCACAGTGTTGTGGGTCTGCAGGGACTGGGATTCCTGTACTCTGGCGTCTTAATTCTATTTTCCAGAGGCTATGCCAGGCAGCATCGTCCTCCTTGATGGTTCAAATAATAAACACTTTAAAAGATTGCTGGCTAATTGGACTGGATTTGATGTTGTGTTTACCAATTTCTGGCAAAGCCATTTGCATCTTCAATCGGGATTAGCTTTGACATCCTTCTGACAACTGTCTCCAGTCTCCTGTCTTCTGTCTCCTGCCTTCCGTCTCAATTTCCTTTCAAAATCAAATAAATTCTTTGAAATGTATTCGGGCTTTTGGGACTTTTCAAATAAATCCATCGAGAAATATGGGAATTCAAAGACCCGCCGCCGCATACTGCAATATATATCGCGCAAATATTTCATGCGATCCGATTTTCTATTTTGATTTGGCAATTAATCTGCGATTTATTTGCACGAAACGAAAACATTCCCACCATTCGATTCGATTTAATTGTTCGATTCTGTTATTCCTGATTATTGATCCAATAACAATTAATGCCGCTCACAAGACGTCACGTGTGGGCACGATTTTCCTATTTTCCCATTTTCCTCGCTCGGTACAATTCAATCCATCCATCTGCCAACCCATCCACCCATCCATACATCCATACATCCATCATCCATCATCTAGCCGCAATCGAAGCGATCTGTCTGCATTGTTTTGCCTAAAAATAAACATCTTGGCTCCCCCGTGAATGTGATCTTCTGAGAGGCCCAAGTCCCCGCCGAACATTCTGTGTTTATCCATCCATCTTTGTTATGTCGGATCCGGGGGATCTGAGAATCTTAGAAGAATCGCCAAAAATCTAAAAATCGCTCCGACCACGTCACTGAATTTCAAACACCTGGCGACCGGCGATTGGGGACCATGTCCACAGTTTTACTTTCGGCTCGTTACTCGTTCCAATCGGCTGCCAATTTCAATTTGGTGGCCTGCAGTTTCCATTTTATTTTCATAATTTTCCATATATCTGTGCGGTTGACATTTATCTACGCGAATGAATCAATTGCAGAGAGACTTGGGGCACTTGTTTCTGCCGAATATTTAATTAGTTTTTTGTCACTGAGGCGTTTGTTTGAATCTTGGCCGCAAGTACTTTGCCTTTCGGCCATTCCCCATCGGGCGTGCGAAGATTAAAGGCGACCAGCCAGCTCCCCCTCCACCCACCCACCCTCCAACAGCGATAATTAATGTCCATTTAAACACACAGGGGCATTTTCGATCATTAATGTGCCCGGGGCGTCATTAAAACTATTTGGACGGCAACGGGCAATTACAAACTGTCGAATGGCCGAAAGGTCAATCGGTCAGGGGGTCAGGGGGTCGGCCAATTGATACTTTGGCTGTCACTCGCACTCCACTGGACAGTCGATTGCAGACAAATGACTTGATTTTAAAGCCATTGTGAAGGAATCTACTTAAAGTGGACTTTAAGGAAGATATTCCAGTTCCCTCAGAGCAGGACTTACAAGGAGCATGGCTTATATTAATCCGAGGAGACCCCACCACCCTCATCCCGGCTACTCAATCAACTCAATCAAAGTTTCGCAGCCAAGATAAATATTTCCAAAACAAATGCACTTTGTCAACTTGGAGTCTTTTAATTAGCAAAAGTTGCCGGTGGCAAGGCTTCCGCAACAAGCCAGCAAGCTGGCAAGGCAGCAAGACATTGGCAGCCTTGCAACTTCGAGGCAGAGTGCAGCTTTTCAATTTTCCAAAGAGCAGATAAAGATCAACATTCGACCCCAAGTTGTGTGGCAGCATAAAGCCCCAAAAGCTGAAACCGAAAACCGAAAACCAAAAACCAAAAAGCAACCCCAAACCCATTAAAGAAGCATAAATCAGAGTTCAGAATCAGAAAAAGTTCTAGACATTCATGCATCCACATATATG